TAAGGCGTAAAAATAATTGCTTTGTATGGATAGATCAATTTTAGCTTGTCTTCCTAACTTAAAATTTAATAGTTCCCCAGCCTGTTCCATAGATTGGCAAACTTTTAAGGTTCATCAAGCCTGATGATGTCAATGTCGTCCAACAAGCATGAAGGAGCTAATTATAATGAACTAGATGTCACTGAGTTGGTTAAGATTTTAAAAGTACAGCATACCTGTAGGAGTTATCACTAGTTAGTTTGCCTTTAACTAACAGAGGTAAATTGTGATCTTGTAACTTTTAGCAAAGAAACAGCGTCACAACATGGTCCATGTTGAAGTTTGGGCAGGAGATGGAGAGAAGACCATTGGTGCCAGATGGCAGAAGGGGAAGTAAGTTGACATATTCTCTGACTGATCTTGACTTCAGCTGAGGTTTTTGAAACATCAGTGTACTCTTAAAAGCCCTTTTCAGGAATACTTGCCCATATCTAAAGGCCTGCCCATTCAACTTCTGGTATCTTAAACCTTTAACAGTGACTAGCATCTAATTTCTCCTTACAGTCACTGTGATACTGCTTAATCATTCATTATAATCATGAGAATACAGGAAATGATTGCCAACCCAAGAAGCTTTGATGAATAAGCAAATTCTCCTTGTCAGTACCAAACGAAATGTATAGAAAGGAGAATGGAGAATATAGATTCTGATGTTAAGCTGATGACACACTTGGCCTTTGGTGTATAAAATTGCTGATATCTGGCACGTCAGACATCTGCAAGTTTTGCTAGAAATGAAATTGTAACTTGTGATTGGCAAACAAAACTGCCAGGTGTGTCACCGGCTAAAGGGTGCAAAGAGTCAAGATTCATGGTTTAGAACATAAGTTTTTGATTTATTAATTTCTGGATTGTTTAATTTTTGTTTTGAATGATCTCATCTTGATGTTTATTATGTGCAGGGTTCAGTACCATGACTCCTACAAATTCAATGCCAAGAGCTATCACAGCATGCAGTATCATTTCAAATCCATCGATACTTGGCTAATGGGAATTTGTCAGAGCCACTGCCCAGAACACTCATGGAAGCGATCGCAGTTTGAGCCAGGAAAGAGGTCCATCTTTGCTGAAGACCAAGGAAATGAAACAGAAGATCAAAATGCGGAAGAACTTGCAGATGAGGAGATTGGCAGTCAAATAAATGATGATAAACAGATGCGTCCTTGCAGCCTGTTGAATGTTAGTTGCTCCCAAAAAGAGGATCACAGTTTCCCTGTCAAAAAGAATTCTAATCAACAAGCTGTTTCCTCTCACATCACTTCTCCAGAATCAAACAAATGTTATGATACAGTTTCCTCTGATCATTTTTCTACAACTACAACAGCCCAACTGCTGCAGAGAAACTTTAACAACCTCGATGAATGTGTTACTTGGTTGCTGACAAAGATAAGCATGGATATTGAGAGTGAATGTAATGATGCAATTTCTGACATGGAAGAAATTGAGTTACATTCAAGTCATCAACAGACAGAATATTCCTCCTCAAGTGATCACTACAGAAACACAATTCCAAAGGATCACTCTGCAAGCAAAACTAAAATGGAAGCAACAATGCAGTCAAACACTGACCAAGACTGTCATTGTCCTCAGTGTTGTTGTGTAAATGTCAACTGCATACATCAAGACTCTGGCAGTGTTAATCGTTTTGATGTTTCTCAAGATCATGATCAGAATGAAGGTGGAAATTTAGAGTACTGCAAGGAAAATTCTTCATCTTTGGAGTGTTTTGACTTTATTCATACTGGCATGAATTGTGATTCGTTTTGTATAAACCAGTGTCCTAACAATTCAGACAGTAATCACAGTCGAAGCAAATCCAGAAGGTCTGTGTCTCCTAACAAGGCTACAAAAAATGGGAAAGGTTGGTGGAATGGACTTTTTTCGTGTTTGTTTTGTTTGATGTTGATTGACTGTATATCAACATTAGTTCCTGCACATGGAAGATATTATTAGAAATGTAAAATCGGTTAAAAGATAGTTAACTCTAACCAGTTGAAGTAGACTCATGTTAATGAAGAAGAATTTCTACAGACTTGGAAAAGATGGGGAAATAATGGTAATTAGGTGCGTTTTACGGCAGTTTAAAATGTCTTGATTCCATGAGAGCTCATCATTAATTATGGTACATTCTTGGGCAAGACACTTCACTATCACACTGCCCCTCACAACCCAGGAGTGGGAATGGGAACCAGCAAACAAGGGAAGCCTGGTAAACTGTTGAGTGTAACCCTGTGAATTATTTGTTTTGATCATTTTGATGCAGACTCCGGGAGTGGTTCCTCGGGCAATGGAAGAGGGAATGGAAATGAAAAGAACAACAATGGGGACTCCTCTCGCAGGAGTGGTGCAAGATCAGTCAGTAGTTACATGAATGGTAAACAGCCAAGGTTCTTCATTGGAGGAGGAAATGGAAATTGGATGTAAGAATAGACTTATTGAGTTAATCAGACACGTCTAAACAAAGATGTCTTCTGGGTATGCAAAGAGGGTGGTCATTCAGGAGACATTGCTGCTCAGAGAATTCTTTGACTTTTCTGGTTAATTGCTTATTCTCAATGAGTTATCAAATTGTTGCTCATTGATTATCAATTGATTAATAACCCTTGGCTTTCATTGATCATTGATCAATTAGTTATGTGTGGAAAACACCTGGAATTACCGCAGATGAATGTTGTAGAGTTATAAAAACTTTCCTTAACTGACCAACAGTTTGCATGCAAATCCAGAAAAGCTGGTTGGGCTTTTAAATGCGTTTCTGGAAGAGCCGGGATAAGGTTGTGTAGAGTCAATAAACAAAGCACTAGTGTGGAAAGAATTTTGAGCAATTTCTTTGTATTTAGGATCGAATCAACTTTGGTTTCACTTGGATGGTCTAGAATTGAGGACAAGTTGGATGAATCGTTCAAACTCAAATGGGTGGAGTGCAAGAGTCAGATTAACTATGAAAATTTCAGAGATGGTCAGTGCATTATCTGTTTCATGATTTGCTGCTGTTTTCTCTGCAATCACGTTAAAGTTAGATTGTGTAATATAGTTGTATTAGGAAAGAAGTGAAATGTTTCTGCTAGCCATGAAGGTCTAATAGTTAACATGCTGGATGTGAGAGTTTTTGTGGCCTGTAAGTAGGCCCTCACCATTTGCGTCTTAGCACGAGTGTTTCTTCGCCCGCAAGAAAGTATCAGGCCTGAGAAAGTATGGAACCTTGAGCAACGCAGTTCGGCGAGAGGTGTGGAACGGGTCTAGCGCTGATAATGAAGTAGTGCCAGACCCCCGGCAAACCTCTACCCAAATCGTCTTAAACTTTCCGCGGGCAAAGAAATGCGCGTCCTTCAGCGCCAATAATCTCTCCAAGCAGGAGTGTAACTAAGAATGGGTGAACTGTTTGGTTGACTTGACAAAATGCTGGGGGTAACTGCAATTTAATTAAGCATCCCATTCAGAGGATCAGCAATTCTCTTAGTCGGTTCCTTCTACAGAAATCAGGACGTGCTTTACCAGCTTGAACTGGTGGACTCAAGGAAAATAGTTTAGGGTTATTTTTTTAATTCATTTCAAAACCATGAAATGGTTAGATTCAGAATCCTCCCAAAGCCAGATTTTCCTTTCATAGATGTTGGCTTCATGTTTTTCGTTTCCTTTCTGTAATTCAGGTGAACAGTTGGCCAATCACATTTCCAACATCAACTTGTTGACAACAAAGCTGGGTCTCCTGTGCAGCTTGGAGGAATATCAACGCGTGCAAGAGAAAATGGCCAAGAACAAGTTAGTGATTATAACTTAATCACACCTGCAAATGAGAAGTTTGCGAGTTACTTCTTCTAAAAGTATCACTACTGAATAAAACATTAGGGTCATGAGAGTGGAGGAAATTGTCATCAACTGAAGTAGGCTTTTGATTGATGTACAAATTCTCCTGTCAATACCTTGGGAAATGTACAGAGAACATTATAAAGAAAATGCATTCTGATACTGGGCTATAAATTGTTAAATTACAATTCATTCCCTGCACATGCAAGCTAAAGAGAGTGAAGAAATGTGTGACAGTCAGGGAATAATAGAGTTTATAGCCATTAGTAGGGCATGGGGGATTGTTTTTTAAGACGTTAAATGGCCTTGCACAGCAAGCAACATGAAAAGGTTACAAAAGTTGTTACCATAATAACTTGCTAAGCAGAAGTCTCTTTATTTATGTGCAGGCTAAAATTTCCTCTGAGTGAGTTTGTCCCGGAAACTCACAAACTGATGAACACAACAGAAAAAGCCAAGTTTGTGAACGAAGTTTACAAAGGTCAGTTAAATCAATCGGTAATTATTTTTTCTTTCTTTCTTTCTTTTTATATTTTTATTGTGTATAAGTAGCCTGATATGTTTTAACTCAATTGAAACTGTAGCAGGATTTTTATATGTATTATACTTCTTATTAAAAGCTTACTTTCATTTAGAACTCTTTTGAGTGTCGCAAAACTGAAACTGAAGTAGCCACGTTGGCCAATCAGAACGGGGTCGACTTATTTTCGAATCGATAAGAACTCTCAGTAAATTCATTTACCGGCCTAAAGCGCGGGAAAACGTTTGTGACCCAGGCTCGACTGGCTATAGTTTTGCATTTGATTGGTCGAGACGTTTAGGATCATTTTCTAGACCAATCACATAGCATGGTGACTCAGAAACACAAAGCTGGGTTTCCTTCGAAACTCAATTGAAAATTGATCTAAAGAAAAAACGTAATGCAGCATAAATAGCAGTTTTTTTTGCTCATTCAGAAGGTGAAATTTGGATCTGCAAACCGACGGGTATGAATCAAGGAAAAGGAATTTATCTTGTTAATAGCAAAGAGCAGCTGATCGAAAAGCTTAACATGAACGGAGGTGATAATGCAAGTGCTAGACGAAGTTTACTGAGGCCCCCACAAGGACGCGTTATACAGAGGTACTCTTCTTTGTCGACTTTGCGTAAAATGACGGATTTCTTTTCAGTCACCATTTAAAGCACGAGAAAAGCTCGGTTTAATGAGTGACTTTTACCGGGAGCTTTAAATGAGTAACTATATCCAAGCATCGTAAAACAAGTATCCTTTGCAAAGGAATAGAAAATGAATAACTTTTTCTAAGCGCAGCAAAACGAGTAAGGGCGGGAAAATGAGGAACCTTTGCCAGACGCGGGTAAAGGGTCACGTGTACCAAGCGCGGGAAAACGAATAACCCTTGCAAAGCGCGGGAAAGCGAGTAACTTTACCAAACACGGAAAAAAGGGTCAACGTCTGTCACGCGTAGGAACGTGAGTAAAATGGCGTGAGCATGAATTACTTTTGCTAAGGACGGGAAAACGAATAACCCCTTTCCACGGGCGGGAAAATGAGTAACTTTTTCCAAGCGTTGGGAAACGAATAAACTTTTCTAAGCACTAGAAAATGAGGAAGTTTTGGCAAGCGCCCACAAACGATTATCTTTTGTCACGCGCGGGAAAAAAGGATCAACGTTTGCGACGTGCGAAAACTTGTGCCTTTTTGCAAGCGCGGGAAAATGAGTAACCTTCACCAATCGCGGGAAAGTGAGGTATTGGTATTAATATTAAGCCCAGAAGGCTTTTTCTCAAGAATCATCAGCGAGTTTAACAGGCATGACAGTGACAGACGATTTGCAGCAGTTCTCACCTGATTGTGATGCATAATGAGTTAACAAAATCTCTTTCTCTGTTGCAGATATGTGATGAATCCTCTCCTGTTAAATGGCTGTAAATTTGACATTCGTACGTACATGCTGATTGCTAGTACCACTCCTTTCATAGTTTTCTATCATCCGGGATATGTGCGACTCTCGTGTGTCCCGTATACACCCTACAGTCCGGATGCCGCTGGACTGCATGCTCATCTTACCAATCAGGTCAGAGTTGTATAAATTTTAAAGAAGCTCGCCAACTTTTGTTATTTGAGTAAAGCACTGATGACTTCATTGGGGCATAAAATTATCTCGCTCAACTTGATGTTGCCTTATTTGTGTTTTTCATACAGTATGTCCAGAAGAAACATCCTTTATATTCATCTATGAAAGAAGACACTGTCTGGAGTTTCGAACGTTTGCAGTCTTACATCGACGAGAAGTATGCCAAGGAGAAGGAACTTCCCGAAAACTGGGTTTACACCGCATTTACGGTGAGTGGTTTTGACTGATACTGTGAGTGGCATTGTCTTTTAACTGTATGCAAATGCGTTACGTTCAGATGTTCTAATCCTGCAAGTGTGCGTTTTATAAAGCTGTGCTTACTTCTTGGATTAAGTTATGAAATGATCAATATTGTGTCAATCTCCTTTTCCTTATTGCACCTTTATTTTTCTCTCTTTAGAAACGCATGCATCAGATCATGACAACGTGTTTTCACAGTGTTCGTCAGAAGCTTCACAGGAGAGCGGGAACATTTGATTTGCTAGGCTTCGATTTCCTCATCGACGACAATTTTAAAGTGAGTCAAACGCGTACAATTATCCATAAAGTGTGCGTTGGATATAAAATGATAAATAACGAAGAAGGCACGTAGCTTAAACGTTTTTAACTTTAACATATGCAACAAGCACGAGCATGGTAATTATTCTGTTTAAAACTCCCAAAACGTCTCAAGCGGAGGCCCATGTTACGTTCAGGTATCATGTTCAGGTACCATGGCCTGTAACCAATCAAAACTTAGAGGTAGCAAGGCTTTAACCTTTTAACGTTGAGGGTGACTAGAATCAAATTTCTCATTGAAGTATCGCTGCTTAATCAAACATTAGGCTCGTGAGGATTACGTAAATGATCGCAAAGTGACAAAGCTATTGATTTTATCGAAATTCTCCTTGTCAGTGCAATTGGAACTGTATGAAGAACAGTATGGAGAATATAGATAATGATGATAGGGTGTGAAGGTTGAATAATGATCATTAGTTTTCTGTGTATTGTGCTATTTGGATGGACTATTCTAATCGAAATAACTACAAGGTCTGCGCGGCGCACCTCAAAGCTGAAAAAAAAAACATCGTGGAGAAAGATGTTTTTTCGTCTTGTCACGAGCGAGGGACAAAGAAAAAATTATGAGTCCCCATGAGGAATCGAACCTCAATCGTTCGGATTTACCATTTATTAGACTTATCTTCTTTCCTATTCTTTATACAAAACACGACGCTATCGACATAGCTGATCCTAGCAGTATGCAGGACGCGTGTCATATATGAACTTCTTAATGGGCCTTGCTCACCATCGAGTCTCTATGGCTCAGTGGTAGGGCATCGGAACGCGGTATCCGATTCCGCATGGGGACTATTTTGGGGAATTTTTTCTTTGTCTTACGCTCGTGATAAGTATATGTAATCACATGAGGCCAAGTACTATTAAGGATTAATTGCACGAGAGTTTTCAAAATTTGGAAAATTTAACCTTAATTAACCTCAATTAATCTAACCTTAATTTAACCTCAATTAATCCTTAATAGTACGAGGTCTCATGGGATTACTTGTTTATCAATAAAGGGCAAAATTTATACGAGGGAAAATCACGCGCGCAGTCTATTTTTAACAAATTTCAAGATAACGAACGGTTGCTATGCAACGGATTAGCCAATCATTAACAGGTAATCATGCCCTCTCTTGATTACTAAAAATGCCCTCGATTAAGAAAAAATGCCCTCTCTCTCAACCAATCAGCGCTCAGTAATTTTGCCCTTTATTGATAAGGCGAAAAAACATCTCTCTCTATTTCTTTACCGAGCCCAAAACTTACCATCTCTCTTATTCTATTTACAAAAAATTCTTTTTTTTTAAATTCAGGAGAGGCATAAGTTGTTTTTCTTCCTTCTAGGTGTGGTTGTTAGAAGTGAATATTAACCCTGCACTTCATACCAACTGTCAGGTTCTGATGGATCTCTTACCCGGAGTAGTTGACGAGACGTTAAGTAAGTAAATGAGTTGTTGGTCGTTCTCACTTGCGGCCGAAAGCCCTTGCAATTTACCGATATGGCCCTAAGGAAGTCTTTACACTATTAAACTTAACTAAGACGGATAAAAAAGGTTTTAAACAGGATACATAACCTCACTTAGCGAAAGCGATTACATATTAAGAAGTCATCCATAGTTATAATTATTAGACCAGTTTTTAAATTTATTGTCGTCAGTAATCCGGGATTACTTTGTTTTCGTTCTACTTAGTCGTTTCGTGATTGGTCCAGAAAACTCGCGCCTTTTTCTCAGCCAATCACATTCAAAACTAAAATCAATCGCGACTTGTTCACCCACGTTTTCCCGCGCTTCAGGCAGTTTGCTTGTTTGTACTTTGAGCTCTCGTTGGCTCATCTTTCTTCCTATGATTGCTTGTTGTGTTGTGATTGCCTTGGTTTTGGCTTCACCACACTCAATCGAAAAGTACTCAGGTTAATTTAGTATTATCATCTGAGTTGATAACGTAAATTGGCCACCGTATAGAGTTTCAAAGCTGACGTTTCGAGCGGTAGCCCCTTGTTAGAGCTAACGTCATAACTTAACGGCATAACGTCATCATTCGCTCCGACGAAGGGCTAACGCTTGAAACGTCAGCACGTCATCTTTGAAACTCTTTAAGGTGGACAATTTACGTTATCAACTCAGTTGATAATACTAAATTACCCTGTTATACTCTCCCACCGACGCAGCACCACATTTTCTTTAGAAACTTACCCCCTTTATTCAAAAACGCACTCGGTTGGATACTTTTCATTAAGCACATTTTGAGACGATTCTTTTGAAATGAGTGTTCTAATTACTACTTCATTTGTTCTAGAACTTGTAATCGAGATTGCTGACAAGACCAAGAAAAGAGCTCCGGTTTTTCCTTTAGAAAATCAGAAGGGATTTCAATTGTTGTACAATGGAGAAGGAAAATAGAAGTAGAACGATGTAATTGCGAGCGACATAGATATGAAAGAACTCAAGACGCCGTGCTTACGGGTCTAAAATTATTGGTACAGATGGATCATACTTGCAAAGAGCCTATCCTTGTAAAAGGAAAAGGCACCGATCTGGCCACTTGGCGTCCGCCAAGCAGAATGCAACGTCAATAAAAATAACGGTTTGAATAAATGGATGTACAGCGAGTCAAAAATTGCGCTGTTCTATGATCATCGTGTCAAGAGTTACGTGCTTGAAAAAGGACGACGATACGAAAATGAATAGTGCATGATAGTTTCTGTGAAGAGTGAGAGTTTCGTGATAATCTACTTGGTTGTAAGTACTTTTGAAGTGCAAGCTTAGATATGCCAACACAACGGTCAAACGTTTCTGGTCGCCCGCGCACCAATTTCCCGCGCAAACGTTCAATGGAAAACATGACAAGTTACAGCTGTCTTGCAAAATAAACGAAACAAAATTGAAACGTTCAAAGCAATCTGTTAAAGGAATAAAAAGATGGGGAAATGGAAAACTCCAGACTTTTCGAACACAACACTTATTCAAGTACGGGTTTCCAATTAGTTTATCATATTGTTTTAAGCTTTCCCAAAAAAGTTATACGCTTTTAAAACACTGTGACTTACTGACTTGTGTTTTTGTATGTAACTCGTTTTCATGCACATGCGCAGAAGGTTGTTGTATAGACCGTGAATCGAAGATTTGCATGTAAATTTTCTTATTATTCTTCTATTTGATGAGTATTGGTGAAATTATCCAGGGATCGACTTGCCCTGAACACGAAAATATTTCGCCGTCTCTGCGAGTGTTAACAGGTGTATCTTAGAGAAATCCTGGTGAATGAAGGTGTGTTTATATGTGAATTTGAATGAGGTAATGATAAATGTGTTTGAGTTTTCCCATTATGGTTAAAAGAACAGATGTTAAGTCAACTGTTACGCCATAGAAAAATTAATGGACTGTATTTTGTATTTCTCAACTTTCAGTATTTATAACGTACAAATGAGAGAAAGTTTTTTTAACGTGTGGATAAGAGTACATTCTTTCTCCTATTTTTGCCATAACAGTGGCGTTTACTTCCTTGTACTACTAGTAAAAACTGATCTTTTTGGAGAAAGGCCTTTTCGTTTTATCAACCTCCTTGGTGTTAGACGTAATACTCTCTCTCTTCTTATCAACGAAATTCTGGAATTCGATTCGTAGCTTCCTCGCTCTATTAGAACTAATTACAACATAATAAAGTACAGTACAGCTGGCCCATTGAAGAACTTGGTCGACAGAAATTGGCTCGCACCCAAGAAAAAAAACTACAAAAAAGACAGCGCCTAGTGCCCTTTAATTCAAATTAACTTTGAACCATTCAATGCCATCAATAACAATTTTGATCCAATTCTGTATCTTTCATGACAGCCGCTTTTTTTTCATCGAAATAATTTACCCTTTGATACCCCTAACCTTTTTAATCGGAGGTAAAAAAAAATACTTGGCTTGTCACTTCCCATTTAGCAAATTAGCGTGCATAAAAGTTGTGATGTACTTGCGTGGCACATTTTATAATTAATCACGAATCTTATCTTTCATTTCTGTAAGCTCGGCTGTATTTCGAAATTTCGTCTTGCCTGGGGCTTTCCCTCAATTAGGAAAACCATGGAAGTTTAGTTTGGCAGAATAGAAAAAATTCTAAAAGGTAACTACGGACTGTAAAGGTTGGAGAAAGTTTTCATGGATTCCAAATGACTAACTTAAAGAAAATAAGGTAAAATGTTTTCAAAAAACATAAATTTGTTAGCTCCTTTTAAGTTTGACAGTAAACTTTCCCTATTTATTGACTGCCTGCATGACTTTTCAACGTATAACGTGGTGGGTGGTTTCATTTCTTGTCAACCCAACGAAAAATATGGCGTTTATTTTACTAAAACCGTATAGCAGTGCCCTGTTAACCAAATTCACGTTTTATTTCTTATAATTAGGATCCCAATTAATGATAATTGCGTATCATATATCAGAAATTATGCCAATAATTACAGTTACTTAGCGAATAATTGGCACATTTATAAATGTGCTGGGGTAATTAAAGTTTTATCACAAGAACACTTCCTTAATTTAATCGGTTTTGCTGAGTTCTCGTTGATAATATTTCCACCGTATGATTTGAACTGCGCTACCTTTAAAATTGAATAATGAAGAAAAGGCGCTTTCCTTGAAACGGAAAAAATAAGGTATTCAAAAGCCGCCCGAACTGGGGGAGGGCGGCAAAGGGTTTAAGCATGAAGCGTGATCAAGCTCAAAGTTAACACGTGACGCGTGAATTTTACAGAAAGGCAAGGCAAGGTGAAATGTGAAGGGTTTCCTTTCTACATTCGTTACCTGTGAAATACTGTTTACTAAAAGTGCACGTGACGCGTGAAGTTTTCTAAAATTCGTGCATGAAATGGAATCGCTATCCCCCTGGGAGTTCTCTGAGGTAAAAAGAAGTTAACGTTTATTAGCAAATGATATGTACTTAGTAATTGACGATAACGAATGCGAGAAGGTTTCGTTCTTTGTTTTCGGACCGTTTTCAGAGAGGTTGGCTCAGCACGAGGTGAAGCGTCTAAATAATTCAAAGTTGCTTTTAATTAGAATAGGTCAGGAAATAGACAGGTGCTAATTAAAAGGTGGTTGCACAAGACGATATTTTAAAGACAAAATGGAGAGGCACGCTATTTAACTTGGAAAAGCTATAGAAAATTATGCAAACGTTACTTGAAAATTTTCCTCGAGAAGCGGATGACATTTCGCGGTTAATTTGTTAACAAATTTTTGTTATAATCTTAATGGATTTGGACATATATATAAAAAGATCAGCGTACGAGTTTAGTGTTCATAGGATTAGCAGTTAACTCTTTCACACAAGTTACAAATTTCGGGTATACATTTCCGAGCTAAGGATGAAATCGTCAACTGTTTTTGTTTTCTTTCTTGTTTTTGTCTTAAATATTTCCTATCTTGTGTCAGCTCAGAGCAATGGATGGAGATGCCCTTTTGATTACAGCTGCGGAAAAAGAGAGGTTTGTGAAACTGAAAAAACAAACTCTGATCTAACAAAGTGACAGGAATTGGGAAAACATGTTCCACAAAATTATTTACTTTAAATTCACCATAAACTTGTAGAGCACCAGCTAATCAGTTATTTCACGATCGTCAGTCAGATACGAAATGATATATGTATCGACCAACGAACCAACTGGCAAGTTCGCTTCCCTGATTCATTTAAAATTAGCACAAAATATCGATATATATTGCTAACTGACTTTATTTGTGAATAATAGCAAAAGATGAAAATATTTGCCTCTAGTTTTCCTATGGTGCAGTGGCTCATATACCATAGTTGATAAGCCAATCAAAACACTCGAATGTTCTACAGAATTTTAAAAAAAATTGGTATACTAGTGTCTTAGTAGAAACGAAATACACACCTCAAAATTATCTTCCTTTTGGTTGAAAAATCGTCGGAGGGAACTGGAATTGGTGAAATTTTGAATGATAGAAGGCTTATCTAAGTGTTTTTCTCCACATATCTCAAGGAGTAAATTTAATGGTCTTTCTTGTATAGATGAGCGACAAAACTGCCCTACCACACAGTCGTTTTGGCAACCGTCTTCGTTCTCTGAGAAACTTCCGTCGGATGGCTGAAGAAAGAAAAGCAAGGGTTGATGCGAGAGGACTGAACAGAGCCGCCATCTTGAAGGCTTATGGGAACGGCCAGTGATCAACAAGAGTACAAAAGAATTAAATAAAGTTCAAAAGGAATAAATTTTTTAGATCTAATATGAATGTAATTTAAGTAATTGAGCGAGCAATAAATTTTTGTCTTTATGGCGTTGAATTGGCGCAATTTCGTTTATCTTAAAGTTTCGCTTTCAGCCTGTCACCATTTTCAGCCTAATTCGAGTCAAAAGGGTGAAAATCTTTCGATCGGGTCGATCAGTGCCTCTTTCTATTGACCCTGAAATCAGCGGCATAAAAACTCTTACTCTGAGTTCTGCTGCTCATAGTGGAGTTTGACTTTAGTAGTACTACTACTGAGCCGTTAGCTAAAACCGAACATGAAATATTTCGAAGGTTTGGCTTCCAAAACAAATTTAATTTTCTTATTTTAGTTTTTTCATTTCAAAGTTAGAATTTCAGACGTGACTTTCAGGCCCAGTTCTAGAGAAATTTAACTGTGGTCAGCAACGGCAAATGCCGGCATTGCAACTGTTTTTCAAACAAACCTTTCAAACAAGGCCAAACCACAAAGGTTCTATTCTTGAAGTCACGTCTCCTGTTTTTACAGAAGAGACATTTGCTCTGGTTCAGCTCGGTTTACCAGTAAGTAATGGAAAAAGGGCACATAAACAAAGGAAGCCTCTTTCGGATATTCCTCTAAAATTAGAGAAATTTAGAGATAAAAAAACGTTGTCTTTGAAAACGTATGGGAAAACGCTGTGGTAAATTTATTAATGCGCTGGACTCCTGGTAGAGAGGTCTGGGCTCGAGACCTGGCCGAGTCAAAGTGTTGTGTTCTTGGGCACTTCACCCTCACAGCGCCTCTCTTCACCCAGGAGTATAAATGGGTACCGCCAAATTATCAGGGAAGCTTGATGAAATGCTGAGGTATATAACCTTGTGATCGACTGATCGCCCATCCCGGGGGGAGTAGTAGGTTTAAATTCCTGAAAGATCCACTATGATTAGCATGACGAAGTAACAAAAGCAGTGCCGCATCAACGAAGTAACCCAGATTGGCTTGTTACTGGAGCGTGTATTTCAATATGCTTTGCATGATAGATTCTAAGAAATGAATATAACGAATTACTCTTTTCTCCAGAAGCTACTACAGACTTGACGAGCAACTGCTGGTAGATTAGGGAATACGAAGCTCATTTGAGGTAATTTTGTTCCAAGGCTCAAATTGAATGATGTGAACCAATTCATTCAAGGAACGCGCAATATCTATGATTTTATTCGGACAAACTAAACATAGTATTTAAAATTCTGAATGGTTAACGAAATGGTGATTTGTTTTCGTTTTTTCTTTATGCCTTGGTGCAAAACATGTTGTTCCCGCGTGTGTCGTTGGGAGGAGGGGGTTATTCATTCCCTAGGGTTTTTATAATTCGGCTACCAGTGGTCTTCTGCCGCCTTTAAGACCTCTCACCACCGTCTGGGCATGTTGAGCCTGCAAGCAGGCTCTCATGTTTGTGCATGCGTTGGGTCTTACGAAAAGCGGCCTATATCGCCATAACCAGCCACTCATTGAAAAAGTTATTGAAAGTCTTGCCTTCCTATGTGATGCATACAAGCTTAGCTTAGGATGATAATAGTTCATCTCAAATATTATTGAAAGTGGTTTTCAAGCCTCTGAGGTCTAAGAAAGTTGAAGACAGAACTTAGAAATAGGCGGCGAGCTGATGCAATGAAATAATTTTATTTCCCATTATATTTAGAAGATTAATTCAAGTTATTTTAATCAGAATAACATTCTTATATATCTAAATAATTTGATTATAACATTTCATAAATCTAGATTTATCCGAACGTTTATCTATAGATATTTTCTTCATTCTTGATTATTCTCCCGTGCTTTCAGGAAGTCTTTCATTAGTGAGTCCTCTGTTAGATTTCATCAATGAATCTTTTTCATCTGATAGCGAATAGATACTCCTGAGTAGGCGAAGTCGATTTGCTAAGCGGCTGTTTGAGAGAGCTGCCTTGTCATCTATCTGCAAGAATAGTCATATTTCATTTTTTTCCAAAAAGATTAGTTGTGGGTCACATGCTTCATAATTTCCTACGCGGTTTCCTAAGTATGATTGGAGTAATATTGTCGCTATTCTGCCTAGACAAGCAGATTTCTCAGATAGTTCGCCGAGAACTCATTATATTACCTAAGGTTAAGTTGCTTGCTCACAAAACGCAACACAACGGCATTGCTTAGGCTCGAATCCAGACCCTCGACGCTGTCCAATTGGCCTCTGCGTTAACTCCCATAGGGACTAAGACAGAATTTCTTTTAACAATATCAATCAGAAAAGTGATGAGAATAAAGAAAATTTTAACTAGGCGACTGTTTGTTGATCCAATACCAAATTCTACAAACTGACATCTTAAGAACTGTATTGTAGACAGTAAGGAAAATTACTAATGAAATCTCGAGAGTGGAAGGATTTCATAAGCAGCAGTGGGATCGCAGATGTGGATCATCACGTAGATTCTGAGTTGTAAAATGGCGTCACCCTAGATTTTAAAAACTTTGATGATCTGAACACTTCTTCCAAGTGCTTCTAATCGAGCCGTGAATGACATTAATGATATCAACAGCTGATGAAAAAACTCACGAATAATTCGAGCCAGTTTTTCTACAAACCTCTCTTTTCCCACAACGATAGTCGAAAGGACACAGCCATCCCGATTGGCTAAGCACACAATGCGGAATGGCCAGAATGAACACAAGGATGAGCGCTGATACAGCTCTTGATTTCATCTTGACAGTCAATAAATGTCTCCTGCTCCAAGCTTGCTTTGGTAAAAATGAGAGTCGCATGCCATTTATAACTACAAAGATGTTGTAAATAATTAATCATTTTGTTAGCACATTGAAAAGAAAAGACAGCAGGTTTTTTTTTAAAAAGTAATGTGTCACAGCTTTTCAAGAATAAGTGGCGTGGCTATGGACACCCCTTTCCACATGTTTAATAATACGGTTTGAAAAATCCATCATTCATTTAGCATTTAATGCATCTACTGATTAAATAATAAAAAGTTTGAATTATTAAGCAGCTTAGGCGAACTTTCTCGGCGTCAGCCACCACCGACCTTATTGAGAACAAAGACTGCACGATAATTTTTCATAGAATTGTCATCAATCGTTCATTTGAATGTCCACCTCAATTGACAAGCGCTGACCGCTGAGTGCTCTTTCATAACGCCTCCAATTCAAAATGACATAGCTCACAAAAGGTTCGTTCTATACCACTGATAATAAGTTTTCAAGGTGGTCTTGGCCGAACCCTACTTACGTGTAGAGAATTTGGCAAATTGTTGTTATTCATTTCATTTGAGGAAATACATCGTCAAATGAGCTTGTAACGCGACGATTTTCCGTTGAACAAACAGTTGAAATATGAAAAAATTCTGGAGGTTTGTTCATTTTGTTCATACTTAACGCGTTCACATGGCTGAGTACGCGTCATAAATTTGTCGGTTATCAGATGATAGATGAGGGTAATTAATGTCTATACATGATTTTGTTATCGATCTCTCTGTATTCCGGCTGGAAACAAGAGCTTGACTGGTTTCATTACTACTCGCATCTTTTGCGGCTTACAAACTTTTCTTTAATTCCGTCAGCTCAACAAGAAACGGATTCAGAGTCACGAATGCAAGGCAAGGAGTTTACATTCCTTAAGTGCATTATTAATCGATCGTCTAAAAATAAGGCTATTTCGTTGTAATCAAACTCAGGTTTAATGAACCGTAAAAACCCAAATACGTACGAATAAGTTGTTTTGTTGTGTCAGACATCTACTTTTAGACCGAAATACGTATTTTCGTCTTGCCTTAAGCGTATGAGAAGTTAAAAACAATCTTTGTCTTCAAATACACTTCCCGAATAGGTGGTTGTGGCTTGTTTCCTTGAACTAATTATGTATTCATTCACTGGCTCAGCTCTCATCGACACACAAAAGAAACCGTCATTCTTAAGTGGCATTTTGGGAAGGATGGCCGACAAAATTTAATACGAACCTTCCTGGAAGATTCGTTAGTAGAATTTTTATTGCGTGCAATTTGTAGTGATTTTATGGGAATTAATTTTAGTAGCTGTTCCTGCTTAAAAAGCCCACGTTTGTGGGAAAAGATAAAAACCTTTCCTGCATACACGAGGCTCATAAACTCATTTTTTTTACAGAGTCGCAAACCCAAAAAAATTTGAGGTTGATTGACTTACGATAAAATTATGCGACATTAGAAAACTTCCTTATCTTTCGATTTCACCGATTGGACTGCGACAAAATTCGCGCCCGTTATCCCACGTTCATCACGCAAGAGCGCGTGAGATCGACGATATTCACGCCCGTCAATGCACACCGCCAGCTTTGCTACCTGAAACGCTTTATCAGTGTGCACCCACACTCGCCACATGTGCGATTTCACAAGATATATATTATCAGTTACTTTTATTTAATAACTTGAAGTAGCTCCGAATCATAATCGTAAGCAATAGACTGCAGTTTGTACTGGTTTACCGGTGTAATGAATCAGCTGGGATGTTGAAGAGCACGAAAAAAAATTTGGGAATAAAGAGCCGGAGGCGAGTGATTCAACCACAAACAAGTTTTCGAGTGTTCTCCCAACATAACGCCGCCAAATTGATAAATACTGCAAACTATTGCTTTTATAAAATAAAATTCTATTTCCTATAGATTTGCTGGTTCTATAAACAATAGGTTTGGACTAATTAGGGTGCTTGTAGTACGTATTTCATCTATTTATAACTGATCTGATAGAGAAATAAACTAGTCTCTTATTTGCAAATTATTTAACAAGTCTTTGTACAAGGTACTCTCACTTTCTCGCGATCGCAATCAAACGGTCTTCACAGCTATGTAAAAGACACTTTCTTAACATTATTCACAGATTATCATTTGATATGTAAGCATTTACCATCAATTTTCAAGTTCTTTTGTTAGTTTTGTCATAGACATGATCTCTAGACTGAAAGCAAACTGGGAAATTTCAAGCCATGTAAGGAGATTTGAGGCCTTTTAACTTCGCAAGCTATATTATTTTGAGATGAAACCGTGAAACTGAGATCCTTGTGTTGTGTGAATAGAGCTCTGGAAA